CTGGCTGCATGACCACTGAGCAGGTTGTCTAATAGTTCTAAGCCTTATTTTTCTCATCTGGAAACTGGAAATACTAATAAGGCCCATTTTATAGGGTTGTTGGAATAATTTTTTAAAAAACTGAGAATACTTCCTAGCACATAAGAAGCATTGCATAAGGCTAATCAGGCATGCAGTGGTTTAACTCCACATGCAATTCCACCCTATGGGGCCCTTATCACCCTAACCCAATTTTTAAAAATATTTTCACTTGGACAAATAGCCAGGACTCACTGTAAATGAAATAAAGCAGGTTGTCAGAGACCAGTGAATAGTATATTCCTATTTTCTTACACAAACACATACACAAAAACTCAGCGCCATAATATGTATATATCTATTGGCATTTTTTACTTCAGCTCTAAAGATATGAACAGAATCACCCTTAAATATTAATACCACTGACCTCAGGAAAGCTGGATCTGGGTGGGAAGTAAAAAACTACTAACACTGTTTTTATCCATCTTAGCATTTTTTGACATTATAATGAGTTATTTTTGTGTTAAAAAAACAATAATGTTTAATAAAATAAATGTATATTTAAGTCCAGAAACCGAAAGCAGGTCCACGTGACACAGAAAACGGATAGGAGTGGGAGTTACAAAATTCAGTAGAATCCAGAATGCAAAGGAACACAAGGCAAGTGGCTCCTGACCTTGTGTAGAGCTTGGCTGTCTCCTGCCCACCTGGGGGAGGTGCCAAATGTTTGCAATCATGGATATGCACAGTGCCATTGGGTTCCTGTAACACGAAGAGTGCTCTTGCAGGGAAATTATCACGCACATCATTTTCAGGGTGTGTATTTCTGTCCAACAGTCTTGTGTTTACAGCTGAATGAAAACCCAATTTTGAGAAAAACATTCTTCACTGCTGGCACGGACAATCTGACCCAGGCAGACCGTGGCTCTTCCCTGAGACATAAAGAAGGAAGAGAAAAGAGGCTTCCAGAAGAGGCTTCCAGGTAATGGGCATCAGGCTGGGAAAGTTCAGGATCTTCAGATCAGCTTGCTTCAGCCTGAGCCCCAGAAGCTCCCCGAACAGTGCAGACTGTCCTGCTGCCTGGAGCACCCTGTGGCATGGGGCATTGTCTCCTCACACACCACTAGGGAACTTCTCTGGATAATCACTGTGTGTCTCCTGGGAATATGGAAAACAGGGCTGGCAACCAGTGCAGAATCATTGAAAAAGCCTAACCCATTCTCTACTCTAACCATATGTTCCTTTGTGTCAGCAAAGCAGATTTTGCTGCTTGAGATGTGCAGAGTTTTTGAGATCCAGTGGGAACCTTGCTTGTATTTTGTGTGAATCTGAGAATGGGACACTGAATTTGACAGGTCAGCCACAGTAGTCAATGTCTCAGACAGGCTGGTGGGTGTGTGCCCCTTTAAGAGAGTGAGCATTCAGCTCCCCAGAGTTCCCTAGGGCTTTCTCACCAGCTAAACCTCTCTCAGCAGCTGATTACCTGAGTACAAGAGGGAGAGAAGATGAATCTATTTCTTCTCAGAGATACAGTATCTAGATTTTGACATTTTATTTATCTCAACCTTTAAGCTTATCTTGCTTCAGAATGGTAACACCGCAGTGCTCCACAAATCTCAAGGCTTAATCCACCCTATAGTGGAGTTGGTTTTGAGGTGCAGTTAATTGTTCTGAAAGGGATCCCACCTCTCCTCCCAGCTTGACTCCACAATGCAAAACAAAGTCCATCGCTGGCTCCAGGATTAAGGTGTCATCAAAGACAAGACCAGCTGGGAGCAAAAGCTCATTAATTTGCTGCAGAGTCATCTGGGCCTGGCATCCCTGGGTTTTAGATCCAGAGAGGTTTAAAGCCCCAGGTCATGAGAACCCAGGTCAAATGTCTCTTGGCCTCTGGACTATGCTAACACCCCAAGGGCGTTTGTCACTTGCTTGCTTTTGACTATTCAGCTGACAAAAATTTTCAAAGAATAGGCTTCAATTAAAAAGTGCTTGTATCTACCTTTTAGATTAGAAGCTATTTCTCAGTATTTTTCAGTAGTAGGGAAAATGCTGATCAGAATACTACAGTCTCTATATATGTACATGTACATGTGTCTGTGTTTGTATATGTGTATATATACATATATAGACATATACATATATATATGATACACACACACACACACACACACACACACACACATTGGGAGGGGTTGGTAGAGAAAGATCAACCAGAAGATAAGCAATGAATGTATGAAATTTCCTAACATGTCTGTTGGCAGGTTTATGGGCTGCTACTTGTTAATTATGTGACCTTGGGCACACCCTAAAAATTAATTAAGAAGTTGTAATAACACATGTCTATCGCTAAACACAATGCCTGAAACATAGTGAACACTCAATAAATTTTCTTTATTTCTAATTGTTGTCACTATTACCATTATCATCAGCATCATCACTACTTTGATTAAACCAGCAAGGTGCTGGATTAAGGACTTAAAGGCTGGTTGAAAGGAGAAAATATGCACACAAGCAAAGATAAAAAGTGACAATAGTTCTCCTCTTTATTCCAGCACTTATGGTTGTGTGACAACTTGTCTATTTGTGTTAGAATGATCTTATTCTGGGATCTGGCACTTCTGGGTGGTGCTTAAGTCCCTTAATGAGTAGAACTACATAAGAGGGGTTATACACAAGTGTATTTCTCTCTCACCTTAAGTGTCTGCAGATTTCTGTCCCCCTCCAGAAAAGAACCTTAGAAGAAAGAGCCCCTGTGCTATTAATTCATGGACACACTCATCTCCCCCTCCCTCTACCAGAATAATCCAATGCAATAAAGGAGTCAATCAATACATTTTTGTTGAATAAATGGATGAAATATGGAAATTATAAATGGATGATCACATGATAGAGATAAAATTTTTGTGTTTACCAGTCAGCTCAGAAACAAACTGAGCATCATCTATATGGTAGGTCCTGTGCTCAGTGTCATGGGTGCCCCAAGGATGTGTAAAACCTGCTCTGGGGTGGGCACATGGCTTCAAATTTTTGCATAGGCTAGATTTTTACATAGAAAGAAAGAACTGTTGCAAGAGAAAACTTTTCCACACTTGGTTATTTAGTTTCTCTCAGGCATGGCTTAACTAAACTCAGAACCTGGGGCTCTGTCTTCCTGATCTTCATCCTCCATCCACCCAGCATTACTGCACTTTTCCACTGAATTAACACCTCCTTCAAGGTTCCCTAATCACTGATATGGGTATCGTGAGCTGCTCAAAAGTGTGAGTCCTTCCAAAGCCTGGGTGAAGTATTAAACATGTTTTTTTTTTTTTTAATTCTCTCTTTTCTTTTCTAAATGACCTCTTCAGTGTGTTCTCTTCCTATTAAAGTAACAAAATGTCCAGATGCTAATAGCACAGAGCATCCACAGTAGCTATTTCTAATATATGACATGCACAGCCAATAACAATTATGGGTATCAAAGAAAAACATTAAATATTTTCAGGTATTATATATATATATATATATATATTTATTATATATATATTTATTATATGTATATTTATTTATACAGATGGAAATACCCACAGGCCATTCTTGCCATACCTTCCCAAGCTTCGGCCCCTGAGGTTGCTCTCTCAGATGGGACACTTACTAGTACTGGACTGTGGTGTGTTTTTTTTTTTTATCCTTCACCCTCTCACCAAAAATTGGAAAATACGTTCTTCCTGTGCCTCATTCGAGAGAAAGAAGCACACTGAACCTGAGCTCCATGGTCTAGAACAACCTGCTCCTCAGGCCCCTCTGAGTGCCCTTCCCACTGCACGGCTAGAGTTACGGCTGCTAAAACTTCTGTTCTCGTGAATCAAAACTGCTCATCTTTTAACTGCTTATCAAACTACTGTATCGGGCGAATGCGCTGTTGAAAAAAGATGGCTTTTATTCTTACATATGTACATACATTAGCGAAACCCATCAAGGAAGCACAAGCTTACTGAGTTGCAAAGATTCTGATCAAGACTTACTGAATATGAACCATATGGTAGGTGCTGGGTGCTTAATACACTGAAGAATCACACTTTTATTGAGGCTCCTGCAAAACTGTCCCCAGTTTCAGAGACATCACTGAAGATTATCCCTAAGGTTATCATCATCCTACCCTTGACTCTAAGATATATCAGGTGTTCCAGGACTAACCGATATGAAGCAGCACTCTTTGTCTCCCAAGATGGGTTAAGATGTGGGCACCTGGCACAGGATGGCAGGAAGAGCCAATCAGGAGTGAGAAATGCCTAGGTTTTTGTTTTGTTTTGTTTAAGAAACAAATAAAATGTATTTGTTTTTGAAGGCATCTTCTGTTTCTAGTTTCAGACCCTCAATAGCCCTACTACAAAATTGTCCTCATAGTCAACAAGTTACTGAGTTAATCTGTCCCTAAAGTATTTGTGCCTGGCCATTGGCAACAGTATTATTTACGTGTATATGTGAGAGGCTATAGAGTGTGAGTCCCAGATGTAAGGAGGGATGTGTGTGTGTGTGTGTGTGTGTGTGTGTGTGCGCGCGCGCGCACCTGCACACTGCTAGTGAGCTGCAGGACCATGGAAGGCAAGCTGCGAAAGCACCTCACAGGTAGGGAGTTTGGCTTCCGCACACAGAGGTTGTGCTGCTCCCTTTTGCAAAGACACCTCTCTCTCCCCTTTGTTCCATAAGTGCTAAGATAAGTAAGGACGATGGAAGCCGAGTACATAAACACAACCTAAAGAAGAGCATAACAAAAATATATGCTGGAACAAGAGAGGAGGTCTGTGGAGAAGGTAATTCTCTGGCTTGCCTGGAGACAAAGGCCAACCCATTGCTAAGGACAACAGAGAAAGAAGACAGGAAGCAGGAACGCATAGAACCAGGAATCTTCCCACCAGAAAACAGTAGTAGAGAGTGAGAGACAGCAATAGCCAGCATCATGCTTAAATAACAGTAATTATTGGCTGGATTAATCTACATACCTCCAAAGTGAGCTCTCTGTGATGCTCCCCAGGTTATAGTCATAGAGCTTTGTCAAAATGAGAATCACCTGAAGGCAAAAGAGGAAATCATGATTAGTCTCAAATAATTACAATTTCTTAGAATTGAAATGGCCCAAGGGAAGGCTTAGGATTCCTTTAATGGGTGCTTAACAAAATTGCATGAATTATTACAGCATTTGCCACACTCACTGGGGAAAGGTTAGCTCACCTTGCACTTTCCTAAGAGTTGAGGCCAGATCCCTTCCCCACCTTTCTCCCTGTTACTCTGCAGCAAGTCACTCTGCCACTCCAAGCATTTCTTACCCTGGTGGATTGAACGCTTTCTTTGGGAAAGGCTGGAGAATCTGTCAAATATACACCCCACAAGGTAACCTCTGAGCAGATGGTTGGGAGTAAGGAAAATCAATAAGGCAGTTCATAGGCTTCTTAGCTGGGCTACCTAGAAATGTTGTTTTACTTCTCTGAACCTGGATGTCCCCACCTATTTACCCAGGCGGAAGGTAATATTATCTCCCATAAAAGGTTACTATAAGAAGTTAAATTAGGTAATAAAGGCAAATTACATATAAATATACATGGAGTTCTGAAATGTTAGTTCTTTACCTTTCTCTTTGTGAGTTTGGCTTTATTTCTTCTAACTTCCCAATTTGGGAGAAAACCATTGGATACAAGGAACTAAATATTACAGAAGGGCCATTCAGCAGCATTTTAACTGGAGCAAGTCTAAGTTTTAAGTGATCGTGAGACTTACAGCATTTGTGGGTGAGAAGCCTCCATGAGAAAAAGAATATAAAATCAAAACTTAGCAAAAAGTCTTGGAAAGGAAGTTGAGAAACTGAGAGTCACCAGAACCTAAGCTTCATTAGGTTTACTGCAGATCATCCTCTGATTTTGTTTTAACCCATCTTTATTTTTTACCTCACTCAAATGAAGTGAAACTATTTAATCTATCCCTTCAAAACTGACGAAATATTTATTGAGCCCAGATTTTTCCTGATGCCAAAGAAATACAATGAGGCCTGAGTGTGTGTGACCCAATTAGGACAGGACATGCTCATCTGGGAATAGGGGACTTGGTGGACAGTTCACCAACCCTTCTCAGTACCAATCAAAGTCATGGCCATCATGGCAGCTTGAGAAGGTGGCTTCTTTTGGTGCCTGCAGCAATGATCAGAGTCCACCTGGTTAAATATAGGAGGCCCAGGACACTTGGGGAGACTGAACACGGCAGCCTGCTCCTGACCACCGACTAGCCCATCCTGCTCAATGTGATGAAAGACAAGAACACGCTGGGTCTACGTGGTTTTCCTTGAGCTTCCTATTTCCCTCCAGGAACTCATAACCTAGAACTTTTGGCCCAGTCCTTCTGTTCCCAACTCAACAGAAAAATGTTGACATCGATTTCCAGATTCCCTCTAAAGGCCAAGAGATCAGTTCTAGCCACCGTGAGCACAGAGCATTCTAACCTTGAGTTCTGAGGCAGCAAGCTGCCCAAGAGTGCTGAATCCTTGCAAGTTCCACTCTGCTGCCACAGCGCTTGATGTACAGGAGCATCAGTGAGCAGATTCTTAACACTCTTTTTCACAGCAAGCAAACTGGAACTCCATGACCTTAGATTTGTTCTGAGCTCAAGGAAATGAAGAACTATGGTAATCCAAAGAGGACAGAGATCCCTGCAGACCTGTCCTCTAGGACCACCCTACTCCTTACCCCCAGCCCAGGCTTCCTTCTAGGAACTTGCTTCTTTTGCAAAATGTGAGCATACGTGAGGTGCAGGGCACCCTATGGACACATCAGATGGCACGCCTGTGTGTGGGGGGGTTTATATGCTTAACAGATTTGCGTGCCAATTAAGTCACTCTAAGTGCTAAATTTCAATCACAGCCATCCCAGGAACACTGATCAGCGGCAGCAGGGTGGCTGTTTGTTTGAATAGTCAGAAGGATGCTGCTGCTTCACTTCAGTACAATTTTGCCCAATGCGCGTATAAATCCCCTACCAAGAAAGTGGGGTGTGGGCATAAGGCATTTCTAGGTAGTTGCTTGGGACCCCAAGTCCCAATATGCCACTTATCAAGAGTTTATAGCAATAAACCATATAATGAAGTTCAGCTGGTCACAGGCCCTGTCTCCCATTCATCTGACAAGGGAATTCACAGGCACCCCAGAGAAGGAATCCTTTATCAGGGCATTTAATGGTGTGAACTGCCTGGGCACACTCACAGAAACTGTTTAAGCAATTCCCAGGGCGGGTGAAGGGGAAGGTGGAAATGTGTTCTCTGCCTCCTCTTGCTGGGCTAGGAAAACTAAAATGCCAGTGATACACTCAGGCAGTTTATCAATACTGAGCCAGAAGAGGTGTCCTTTATGGCATTTCAAAGCGTACCAGCGCAAATCAATCTGTTTAATCTTTCTGTTTTCAGAAACAGAGTAAGAATGGCAGCGGAACTGCTAACCTTTAGTTATGTTTTCAATCGATTATTTGAGGTCTCTCTTCCCTTCTGTGCCTCTTTCCTGCCTGTGTGTGTTCTTCTACCTCCTCACTCCTGGAAGTTAGTGATGCATGCTCATGTTAGACCCGCTTTGCTATTTGTTTACTAGTTTTTTCCATTGCATTCATTAGCTGTGCTATTTAACAGAATCAGCACCTATTAAGGGGGCCTCAGCCAAAATCACAATCCTAAAGTAGAAAAGAGTAAAAGCTGCACTTCCCTGCCTTTTCTGGTCCTATTGTCTATAGTTTTGCATATTTTAGAAACTTAAAAAAAATGTTTCATTAAGTGAAATGTGGTATGTACTTAAATGATCATTTATTTTCATTCATTCTATTGACAATTTTCAATTTTATGAGTTCAAGTGTATACCATTTAATTTTCTTTTTTATAATTTTATTTTATTTATTTTACATGGTGCTGTTGAGGATTGAACCCAGTGCCTCTCATGTGCTAGACAAGGGCTCTGCTACGGAGCTATAGCCCCAGTCCAATAAACCACTTAATTTTAAATTCAATGAGAGCAAGGCTTTTAGATGAACACATATACATTTGTCCAAAATGGAGTAGCCATCACTTCTCATTCATTTTTCCATCTTGTTTTCATTTATTATAGTACCAAAATACTTCTGATTCAAAACAATAAGCAGTGACCAAATGATAACAACTTTTTTCATGTTCCTCTCCAAATCCTAGGATAGTATCTTTAAATAGCTTTAATCCAAACATCTATACCTTGATAACCTCCATCTACACTGTACCAAGACTTCAGCATCCAGTTATTTCTGGAATTTTCCACAGTGACTTGTCTCAAGTGCCTGCCCCAACATACACCAGTCTCAGCACTGCTGTCATCACAGGAAATCTGCCCTCGTCTTGCTGCAAAAGGGTTGTAGAAGCTCCTGGGAGGAACTTGACTTGGTCCATTTTTTCGTTCTTTTAGAGAATGCTGGTGCCCACCCAACAAGCCACTGTTCTCCAATCATCCATGCTTTGGCAGGTGAGAGGGTGCCAGACCCAGAGCCAGGTTCTGTAGAGGAATCTATAGTGGGGTCTGCAAAGAACTGAGCAAAGCCTTCCTCTCTGTACCAACAAGGGTTTCATAACCTGGGTTCCTGAACTATCACCTTTCTGACCAGTCTTTCACAATCCAACTGAATAATGCCATCACCTCTGGCCCCTGGCCTACTGTTTGTGTGGGGGTGAGAAACCTTCACAAAGGACTCTGTGAGAAGAAATGTCAGTTCACTCTTCCCTTCCTTTAGCCCCAACCTCCCTCTGCACTGGCTTACAAAACAAAAGCATTCCTGGAGATAAACAGAGACATTAGCATGTGGATGATAAAACAGAGTGTTCCACTATTAAATTTGCTAAAGTCACTGAAAAACATTCTGTTGTACCAAAATGGCAGGGCACAGGGCAAGCGTTCCTTCTTGGTATGTGTTTAAACGGATCAATTTGGCAGCACTGAAAATTAATAGGCAGTCTCAATCATGCCAATTATTAGCCATGTAGCAATTTTTAGTATGACCGTATTTTTTATTATTAATTTAAAAGACAATTTACAAATGAAACCCCAAATATTTAAGGAGCCCTTAGAACACTCTCCTAGGAACTTAATTCTATACAGTGTATTTTAGAAACATTCTGTTGTAAGTACTAGAGTGCAAGAAACCAAAACTTGTTCTATTTTTTTTTTTTATTTTTAAACAGCAGTACAAGAATTTCCTTTTCTTTTCTTGGGGAGGGGGAACAAACATGTTTTCTCCCAATTTTTTGCTAAATGAAAGAATTCACCCCACTGAAAAAAAAGGAAAGAAAGGGGGAAAGTCCACTGATTTGTCTGGACACTGTCCTCTGCTTCATCTCACCTCCATCTCAGGGAAATCTTAGAAAATGGGGATGTGTAATTTTTGAGTCATTAATGATTTACATTTTCCCTCTCTCTGTTTCCAACTATGAAAACAAACCTCAAGGGAAACAAAGTGTGCCTGAGCCTCCTTCACAGTGGGCCATTTGGGCTATAGGATCCTAAAGTCTCTTTCATTCTGATGGTCAGTAGCTCCAAATTCTGAATAATTACAATGACAGGATCCTACTCTATAAAACAGTCTGGTTTCTTTCCTCTCAGTCCTTAGGGTGTTTTTGTAATTGTGACACAGGGAGAGACCCCCCCAGAGCTCAACTGTGCTAATGTTCACAATTCCTCTCTCCTTGGGGTGGGTCACAATCTGGCACCTGTGAACAAGGGAGCCTATGTTGACAATCAGCAGGTTGGTGCAGGGGCTGGCTACCTCCATTGCTTTCCAACCAGCTTCTAGCAGATCTAGAAGCTTCTTCATTGTCCCAACTCAAAAGACAACCTCTTTGCTTATTGAAGCAACTTGCAAGAGAATATTTGGTTGGATTCATTTACATGAGTGAATGAAAGAAAACAGAGACAGAGAATTATAAGGGGCTTGAAGAGACTTGTAATAATCTGTACTGAGGGTGGAAAAGTAGGATAAAAATGTGTTCGATACTCAGAAATTTGTTTTTACTTATTTCTTTGTACTC